AGATCCAAGCCACAGGGGGAGGGAGAAAACCGGATAATCCGTTCCAATTGGAACAGATTAACCGGTTTTCAATGCATTCCTTATGGGAAATGGTGCTTCACATAACGATGTTTTCACATAACGTTTTTTTTCGGAACCAATTAACATCGTTATGAGAGGCACCACTGTATCTGTGTATGATTATTTCCCCTCAAACAACTGTAGAGACCAGTTAGCAGAAACTATTGCAGATTTCCTACCTAAGGCGCAAGGAGCACACTGCTGCCCTTCACCTTCAGGATGTTGTTCCTATGGATCACATCCAGCACAGGAAACCTGTGAGATGATGTAAGTTGAGGAGCCCAACAGCATCTGGATGGCCACACTTTTCCTCATCCCTGCTCAAACCTCAATTTTTATTGTTATTTCATTTTAGTTATATGTCAGCTTTCTCCCCGAGGGGGTGGGATGGGCTCAAGGGAACTCTCAGTAAATTAAAACTACCCAATAATCGCCATTAAAACCACCTTCCCAATCGGAGGCGACTCTCTCTCTCTCTCTCTCTCTTTGCTAGAGAGTTTCTACGACTAGCAATTCAGATTATACGCATGGCAAATCTGAAGCCAGGATTTATGCCTGCTTCCTTGGGAGTAACAGACTCTGAATCAGGTAGGAGTTACTTTCGAGTAAGCGCAACACCAGCCACAGGACTGGGCTGCAAGCGGGGGAAAAAAAGCACTACTCGGGGTTTCACACTTACACAGGCCGTTAGGGGTCTAAGAAGGGCTGGGAAAAGGGGGGAGTAGGAGTGCCTTTCGAGTAAGCGAAACACCAGCCACAGGACTGGGCTGCAAGCGGGGGGGGAAAAAGCACTACTCGGGGTTTCACACTTACACAGGCCGTTAAGGGTCTAAGAAGGGCTGGGAAAAGGGGGGGATGCCAGGTCGGTTACCCGTAGTAACGGAAGGCGTTGATAATCCTCCGGAAGTGCTCCCGCTCCAGCTTTTCCTCCTCCCCTCCCCTCTGCTTCGCCTCGCGCCCGCTTCCTTGCTCGCTCGCGCGCTTCCGGCTTCATGGAGAGGCAAAAGCGCCTTCGCCGCCAACCAACCAACCAACTCGCCGAGAACGCGACACCCCACCCCCACCCCCCTCACGCCGGGACTCGGCGCTGGATCGTCAACGCGCAAGCGCAGTTCGCGAGGAGGGGGAAAGGAGAGAGCCCTCTGCTTCGCCTCGCGCCCGCTTCCTTGCTCGCTCGCGCGCTTCCGGCTTCATGGAGAGGCAAAAGCGCCTTCGCCGCCAACCAACCAACCAACTCGCCGAGAACGCGACACCCCACCCCCACCCCCCTCACGCCGGGACTCGGCGCTGGATCGTCAACGCGCAAGCGCAGTTCGCGAGGAGGGGGAAAGGAGAGAGGCTACGCAGGCGCATTGCGAGCTCCAGTTCCCCTCTTCCGTCAGGCAGTTCCCGCGAGGAGATGTGAGAAGAGGGTGTCGGCGGTTCCGGTACCTTTCGTCCTGCCGGCTTTACGTCATCGTAGTTCTCCCCCCCCCCAACTTGTTTTATCGGATGGCATCCTGGCTCTCAGGAAGTTCTCCTCCCTTTTCTGCCTTTCTTTTTCCCATTCATTTTAATCTGAAAGATGAGCCGTAACAATGTCTGCCTTTTCTCACTGGATCATTGAAGTACAGCATTCTAACCTTCTGCGCTTTATGGGTCTTATCTTTCTTGATGCTTATTCGTTCGCCTTGATATGTCTTCAGTAGTCGCTTTGTGGATCTCAGGAATGCCTCGCGTCCTGTGATAAATCCAGACTTCAAATGCCTTTTTTTTTAAGCGTGTGTATGATGCACCGTCAAGTTGTCACCGACTTAAGGTGACGCTTATGAATGTATGATCTGTCATTAACAGCCTTTTTCACGTCTTGCAAACTCGTGGCCATGGCTTTCTTTAGTGAGCAAATTCTTCTCCCGTTTCGCCTTTCTCTGTTCCTGCTCCATTCAGTTTTTCTTGGCATTCTTGTCTTTTCCGGTGAGTCTTCCCAGGATATTTCTGAAGTAGAGAAGCCTCAGTAATCATGACAAAGTCTCACCAAAGTTCAGTCTTGAGTTGATCTTGCAGTCATCTCGTTTGTCTTTCTGATGGTCTGTAGCTCCTCCTACAACTTCATATTTCAGATGAATTATTCCGTCCTTGTGCATCTGCCCTGGTCAGATTTCCTTTATTATTGAGCATTCATAGCAGCTTAACGCTGCAACGAGACAGCTCCGTCCCCTTGAGCTGTATTCCAACTTGCTTGGGACCCCCTAAGGCAGCGATGCTGAACCTTTTGAGCCTGTAACTCAAAATCTGCTTTGCCATTTCAAAGTGCCAACACTGCAATTAAAACCCAAATACTGAGATTTTAGTTTAGAAAAAACAACTGCACTGCAAGGGTTAAATGCGTGTGGCTGTTTTTCTATGGGCAGTATTAACAAATAAATACTTACTGATCCTCCAATTTCCCCCTTGGGCTAGACCGGTAATGGTCGCCATTGCACCCCTCCGCTGGACCACTGCACCAGCTGAGGGGAGTGCCAAAATCCAGGATCGGAGGATGGGTAAATATTTCTTGATGGTGACTTATGGCTCGTGTGCCCACAGAAATGGCTTTGTGTGCCAGCTGTGGCATGCATGCCATAGATTTGCAATCGCTGCCCTAGGGGGTTAAAACTACCCTGAAGAAGTGAAATGAGGGAGAAGCCTGTTGATCATGGGGTGGGGTGGGGTGGGGGTGGCGGTTATCCATATTTGATCCAGGAAACCCCCCAATCAACCAGCGGCAGAAACTAGCAGCTGAATTAGCTTGCTTGCAAGTCAGCAGCCGGCAAATGAAGAAGTGATAAATCAGCCAATTTAACATCGTCGTTACCACTGGGTGAGATAAAAAATCTATGATTAGCCCTGGACAGTAATCACTTTAACAATTAGCTTAGCTTAGCTCCAACACTAAATAGAGCAGCGGTGGATCTGGTGAAGGGGAAAAAAGACACAAAGAAAATGGACATTAATTAAACAATTATACTTCAAAGAAGGAAGTTTGATATTTTTGGCATTAAATTTAAGAATTTTTCCTCTTAAAAGTATTTTAGCCAAACAATGCTTGCAGTAAAACTGTTTGTTATAGCTATCTTACAGTGTTGGCAAAAAGCCCAGAACATGACCTTGAATACTCAAACTTGGAACACTGTTTTGACTTTCCTTTTTTTCCCTGAGAGCTGACTAAAATATAGACAGTTAACTTTGGAAAGTCTAATGCAAACATTGAATGAACAGGGCTGTTAACTTACGTCAGACACTGGATTCAAAATTAACCCTGAAGGTGATCAATTTACTAAAGAGGACTTAGAAAGATGAAAGAGGGAAGGCTATTAAGGTGGCCCTCAATGTTGAAAGCATGTGTATACCTAACTTCTGGAATTGTAAAGGTAAAAAGGTAAAGGT